ACAGGTGTCAGATCTGACACCTGTTTAAAGTTCCTTCCTTGTTTTTCATTCACGATTAATCTTTCTGCTATCAATTCTGCTATCACTCATGATTAGGCTTTATGCTACCAATAAGTACCAGAACAACAAACATATGTTAAAAGTTCAAATAATATTTTGCAATGTATTTTTAATAAGACAACATAAATGTTAATTTTCATTCCATAAAACAGGAATAGTGTGGGTGAGTGAGTGAATGTTGTGTATGTGTGTAGGGCTTCTTTTCCCTTAGAAACTTATCGTCGTCGTCATCATCATCACCATCTACAATACATACCTGTACTTCAGGTGAAGTGTTATCCTGAGATAAAGTAGAAAGTATTCCAACACATGCAGTAAGATGATGACTGGAACTTATTCCTCCTGTATACTTATAAAGAGAGCCCAGAGCCAAAGAATGTCCTATTCTTGATATCGCATCTCTTGCAGATTTTAGCCTAAGAATTGTAAGGAAATTTGATTAAAATAAAATAATTGTAATTATGAAGTCTAGTATTAAGTCTACAGAAAACTTATTAACCAGCCTTTTTCTCATATCCAATGCCCTCTAAGTGTGTTAGAATTATAAAGCTTTAACAGGATGCTAAGAACTGTAGTGCTAGCATATTCCTGAAGACACTAACCTTAGAAAGATATTGCAAAATCACTATTTAATTTTTAGGCCTTAAAGGAGGAAAGGGAGAACGGGAGAACAATGGGACCATATTCATATCATCATCATCAATAACAATAACAATCACACAAAAGTAATAACTCTGAAGTTCTCAAGAGGAGGGTAGCCTATTGAATTTTGGCAGCTAGAGTTCTTATCACTGCCTTGGTTTATACAGCCAGGATATCTGTAGAGTGAGGATGATAAACTTGACAAAAATATGCAAGGTCCATCAGTAGGTCAATAGTAAAACATATTTCAAGCCCACAACAAACAACATTTGTAAGCAGCCCAAATGAAAATCTTCCTAATTTACTGAAGCGTAAGAAGGGCAGGAAGTACAACAGAATTATATTTGCAAGATTTTGTTATTATAGTTAATCTCAATGAAAGTAGTTTTAGCCATGTTGTGGAGTTAATTTCTTGGTCTGATCTACCTAACAGGGCTGACAATATCCGAACTGAATTCATAATACTTCAAAATTTTTGTATAGTTTCTACACAAATTACCAATTAAAAAAATGTACCCCCCCATTCATGAATATGCCATTAGTTAAATTTCAATCAGAAATGCATAAGAGTAAAATTATACTAAGCTCTTACTCGTGTTTACTCAAAAGCAAATCCCATTATAAGTATCTTCAAAGTAATCCACAATAAATGTGTTCAGAATTATTGCAGACATAATATTTTGCTGCCAGGAAATACAAACCACCCTTTTTGATGCAATTTTAATGGCTGCTTGAACAAATCCCTAATGAGTTTTGGAAGGGGGGGGGCAGGAAAGCAAAGGGGAAAATATACAGTATTATTCAGAGACATACAAGAAATGTTCTATTTCTTAAAATGTGCAAATAATACACATCTAATATAGACTACAGCAGTTGTAATTATAATTTGAAGATTTTATTATGTGATATATATTTTTCATTTCAAACAAATTTAAATTCAATTGTTAAATGATTGATGTATCGTTTTTTTGACTTGAATTCTGAAGAACTTTATATTTACTAAATTAACATCTGTAAATGTTGGTGTAAGTGCTAATGAAGGAGAGAAGCAGTGATTCTCAGTTGACAGAGAATCCTTATGTAAATATGGAAGGAACGTTTCTGGCAGAAGTGAATAGAGGGGTAGAAGAGGAAAGCAACAGGATAGAACAAGGTGTGTGAAAAAATGGTGCTGGCTGTGTAATTCTGGGAGTGGAAGTCTACACATCTCAAAGTTGCCAAGGTTGAGACACACTATACTAGGTATTTACTTTTCTGCCTCCGCTCCTTAAATACTTTCCTTTTTATAAATTTAAAAAAAAATCCGTTCAGGGATAAAGAGGTGCCTATTTTTGAATCAATGCAATAAAACCATATTATGAGAAATTGCTTACTTGTCAAAGCTAATTTGTGCCAATCCAGAAGTGAAGGTATTATCAGCTACCACCTGTGCGAGTCTGGCTAGGGCTTCAGCAGCAGAACATCTTAGAAGTGGACTGTTACTTTCCAAGGCACTTAGGATCAAGCTCAAAATACAGCTTTGGATTTCTTCATAACCTAAATTTCCCTTATGGCTAGCCAAGTGCTAGATATAAAGAAGAGTTTATAAACAACATCACATTACTTAACAGTTAATATTTTCCTTCTTTCAATAGACATGTAAATAGGAGAGGAAATGAAAATCAATATACTTGTTATATTTGTATCCTGCCCAAGAACAAATCCTCTTAGAGCAGCTCTCATCAAGTTTAAAAGCATAAACATTACAAAAAGCCATAAAACCATTTAAAGAAATCAGTATACGTTACATAGTAGATTCAAAATAAAATCTATTTTGGGAAGATTTTAAAAGAACATCTAAAACTATTACTGTTTTCTACAGAACTCTAGAGGGATAATATAAACTCTAATTATTATTCTGCTGTTCTTCTCTACTAAATGAGATCCCTAATAAGTAACAATATGTGCATAAATATTTTAAAGCTAAAGGAAAATTAATTCTTCAGTTATCTCTGGGAAGATAAAATTATAGGCAGTTTATAATTTCCTCTTGATTCTAGATGCCAAATTATTTCACAATCTAAAATATCTACAGATACATGAATGTTCCCTTCTTTAGGCTTTCTAAAGCATAGAACAAAGTGATATCCTCTATTATCTCAGATTTCTCCATTATAATTCAACAAACGGCTATTCTACATCAGTATTATGCTATTTATTGAAATGTACAGTCACCTTTTTATCCTTGGGATCCAAGGCCCACACAATTCTGCTAATGTTATGTATATTATATACATACAGAGAATAGAACTGCAAGGTAAGAATTATTAAAGCTTTGAATGCTACATTAAATTTATACTGAATTATTATTTAGCATAAAATGTTGAGCATGAAAGAGCCATAGTGAATCTGTGAACCTCATTCCCTCTTGTATTAAAAGGTTTTCAGAAATTTGTGTCATTAATGAAAAGGAATACTACTTTATTATATCATCTAAGTACTTTATTATATCATCTAAAGCAAAGGTCTTCAAACTTGGCAAGTTTAAGACTTGTGGACTTCAACTCCCAGAATTCCTGAGCTAACATGACTGGAGGAGGAATTCTGGGAGTTGAAGTCCACAAGTCTTAAAGCTGTCAAGTTTGAAGACCCCTGATCTAAAGGAACACATTGTGAAGACTTTGTTTAACATCAAAGCAAGGCAAGTTTAAGTTATTTAATATATAGTAGTCTGTTGAAACAATACTTAGAACTTCTCTCAGATGACCTTAAAATTTTAATGAAGTTTTTAGAGAAGAAAATGGATTGATTCTTGATATGTGTTTTATGTATGTTATATTAAACCAAGACTGCATTCATTTATAATGCTAAGCCATATAGGCTGGTTTACCTTTTATTTGAAAAGCAAACAAGCATTAGTGGTAGGTATGGAAATAAATACTTTGCAAAATGAAACAGATAGCATCTAGCTATAGATGGCATTCAATCAACTCAACTTTGGAAGCACAACAAAGATATAATAGCAGTTGAATTCTTCTATTTGTTTTTTAAAGTACATTTTTCAATACTAGATAGACAAGAAGATTCAGTAGTAATTTCGAAGAAAACAAGACTCCCCTTAAATGATTATAATGGATATCACTGACTTTCATAATAAACAGAAGGGCGACTCTTACCTTTAGGGCACTGCAAATTGCTAATATAATATTTTGCTGTATTATCTGCTGCCGTGATCCTTTGGTTTGTTTTATGGATGCCAATAATTGTTCCAGCACTTGTAGCCTTAAATGCATACAAAGTCAAAAGGAAATGGAATAATGAGCCTTTTTCCCATTTCATATACTGGAGAGGCTTCTGTGTCATATGCTGTAAAGTCTATATAATATGGCTCAACAAGATGTTTATTTCTTAGTTAATCAAATTCTCTCTTAATATTTGCCTATATTTCTTTGTCAAGGCTATAGTTGCTCTCAAAAACATCCAAACAACGACTGTGGCAAGCATACAGTATATTTCAGTATATTTCTTATATTCCTAATTCAGGGAAATATGTCAGAACTTTCTAATAAAACAGATATACACACACACAAGTTGATAAAGTTGCATCTACAATTTATTTCAAATCATATTTATGTGGAATATAAACAAAGTTTTTTCTAACACTCTCATCTACCAAAAGAGAATAATAATATCTGAATTCAGAGTTCTTAAGAAGATCTACGCAATAAACACAATACAGCACTTTTCAGATTCATATTCCAATCTTTACAAATATAATACAATAAAAATCAATTCATATAAAAAGTGCAGGTCTATGACATTGTTTTATACAACTCCAGTACTGACTGTCCAACGAGCTTGCTTAACTGCCCTAATTATAGTCATCTAACATTCGTCACACTGTTATACTAATCAGAGGGAAAACGTTGGCCCTGTAATATGTATATATATATACATATGTACATACATATCTACATACATACATACGTACATATGTACTTTGTATATAAATTAAGACAGACAATTCTTATTATGGTTTAGTTCATAAGGCAAAAAAGAATGTTTAGATAAATTGCATGTTTTTGAAAAAAAATAATGTATTTCCCATGAGTAATTAATCTGAAACTGAAATCTCATCTTTCTCTTTACCTTTGGGTCTCTGTTACTTGTGAAAATATCACTCCAAAGAGACGGGTTGCTGCACTGACAATGGATGAAGTTGGAGGCAAAGGCTTAGGCACTGAATCTCCATGTGCAGCCTTCTCATAGATTGCAAATGGATCAAATTCCAAGCTTCCCCCAGCTGTGTTGTTAACTAAGAATACCTGCAAAGACAGAAGAAATGCAATTGTCATTGCAGGACAAGGGTTTTCTCCTTTATGTGCATAGATAGCCAGTAAAATATGATACCTGCTCTTCAATAAATCTGTGTTCTGTCTCCTGCACGAAGGGATCAAATAAGGCAAGTTCGCAGTGGTGGGAAAAGGGCGGAAGATACGCAGCAGAGGCAGCTGCCTGATTATCATGTTGAGTCAAGTCTTGCACTAGTTCTTTAAGAACAGCAGAGAAACTTCCTGTAATTTTAGAAGTGAAAGAAAGAAGGTTTTTTTTAATGCATGTCTGGTACCCAAATATACTACTGCCACAGTATTTTTTTTAAAACAAATTTTATTAATTTTTAAAAGCATACAAAACATACAAGATAAACATAAAACCTTTTTTCTAAAAATTTCTAAAAATTATTTGAAAGTTTGACAACATTAACACATTTCCTTACAATCACATATTTTCCCTTTCTAACTTGCTTTATTTTCTTCTATCTTTTTCTCCATTATCCTTTTCTAACCTTCTCCAAGGTTTTATTAACTCATTCAAACATAAACACATAAGAACACAAAACATATAAACATAAAAAAAAAACATCTTTTCTGAAAGTTGCTTAATCCCGGGTCAAAACTCTTTGTACAGACACCAACTCAAATTCATATTCATTTTATATGCCATTCCATATCATTATTACCATTTTCAATTTTATATATAGCTTCTTCTCTCTCTTAGATTCTCTTAATTTTATTTTATTTATCTCATCTCAATTCAAATCATAATATTTATTATTCTTTGTCTGTTTATTTCCAGCTATCGATTTATCTTTCTTCTTTAAAAAAAAAGCTTCTCCTGTACACTAATTGGAGTATGATGCCTTTACCTCTTTCCCCTACATTTATAATACTTAATATAAAATACCTAACTTACATTGGGATTCTATTTGGTACATTCTAAAATTATACAATATTATCAATACCAATACTAATCTATTCATTAATCTATTCATATTCTTTTATATCATAAACACTTAGCACATTACTTTTCAATTAATTAACATACTTTTGTGGGAGCACCTACTTTCCATAATTATTCCCCCCCACGTCACATATTTTAAATAATTATTTCATTAAGGTATTCCTGCTTCTCCTACTTCAAATCTCTTTAAAAAAAAAAAATTTCCACTGAAATAACACAATCTAATTAATATTGACATTCATTTGTATCTTTCTCTCCAACTCCTTTATATCTTAACCATTTTATCCATTTCAATTAAATAACATGCCTTTTGGGAATACTTATATTTTCCACCATTATTCCCCCCCCCCCCCCACACATCATATCTCAAATCCTTATTTCATAAAATGTTCCCCTTTTCTTAAGGCAAGTTTCACTAAGTTATATTAAACATTTTATCACACTTTAAATTATACATTATTTCCAACTTTCTAAAATTATTTCTAAATACAAATATAAAAAACAATCTTATGTACCTTTAGAATCCCTTTATCAATAAAGTTTACCCATTATCTCTAAAAAGCTCTTGTTTCTTTACATCTTGCTCTCTACTATTGAGGCTTTTCATCCCCTTTCTCCCTTGCTTATTCTTCTCTCTGTCCTCTTTACCCCTTTGCCTCTCCACCTCCCTTTTTCTCTGCTTTCCTCCTTTCTGTTGTCTTCTAACATAATATCTCTTTTTCATCTTGTTTTTCTCTTTTTTGATTGCTTTTATAGGTCTTAAAGTCTCTTTTTCCTTTTTCTCTTTCTCCTTTCCTTCCCCAGCCAAAGTCACTTGTTCATCAAAAATGGCTTCTTCTTTGTCCCAGTCGTCCTGTTGTCCATTCAATTTTACATAAGTGTAGACCGCCATTTCTAAATACTGAAAAAGAGTATCAAAAACATCCTTCCCTTCTTGCTTTTCTTTCTCATATTTTTGATATAAAAGTTTCAATCTGTCCACAAGTAATGCCATTATAAAGAGAAAAAGTTTTCCCAAGCAACCACCCAAGTGCTTTTAATCAGAGATAATTCTCAAAAGTAGTAAAATCACCAAGCAATCCAAGTAGGTTAATTCTTTTAAGCACTTTCTCCTTCACTTTCTCTTTCTGGGATTGGAGTTTGATCACAAAGTTCCATTTAATATATATCTTTCAGAAGCCTTGTTAGTATTTATAGCTCTTTAAAAATCCAGGCAGTCTTCTCCTTATTTTCAAATTCTAATCCAATTTTTCCCTCTCCCTTCCCACTCACAGCAAAAAAAAATTTTTTTTAAGTCTTTTTTTAAAAAAATCATTCAGAAATCCTTATCTCTTCAGTATTTTAATTACCTAGATTTTCACAGTATTTTAAGGACAAGAAATGTGATTTCTGATAAATGTGTGGATTTGAGGTAATAAACCTGAATAGGTTTAATGATCTCACATGAAATATTCCATGCCAAAAAATGAAAGGCTTTCTAAAACAAGAATGTAGCATATCATAATCAACTGTTAGAAAGAGAAGCTGAATAATTTATTTCATCCAGAAATTATTGCAATAGAGCAAAAATTATTTTAAACACAAATATAACTTAATGAAGAGGTATTTTCTTTTTAGGTACTTATTAGTAAATAGATTTGGCAGTACCAAACATCAAGTAACTTTTGAAATAAATCTGATGTTGAAAGACTGATACTCTGGTGAAGCACCAGATTCAAGATTACAAATATCAAGAGAAGTGTTTTTACAGCTAGAATTTCTTTTTATTTTCAGTGACTGGGTAGTCTTTCTGAAAATATAGCTCATGTTTCTAAACATGTAGCATTTAATAGTGAAGGGAGTATAATAGAAACAAAAAAGAAATATGTTAGCTTATAATACATTACTTCCTTTACAATGCCTTATAATACATTATGTCCTAGGATAAAACTACAAATCAGCTATGAAAAACAGAAAACTCTTGGACATTACAGTAAGTCTGAATTGTTATGTATTTTAAATTGTTTACCCTGCAGTTTAAATTGACTTGGTGGAACAACTTAAGGTTAAAAAAGGTGAACTGCTATGTGGTCTAATATCTGTTACTCAGTGTTACAGCAATACCGCTATTTCTGAATTTCACTGCACAAAGGCATACATCTACATTCTCTAT